CTCTGGACTAATCGTTAAATGTCTCAGTTGTTTGTCAGGGATTGAGAAACCACTCATAGCGTCATTTTCCCGTCGGGAAAAGAAAATATCAGGAGGTACACTGAAATGGGGCATGCCAGAAGTTTGCTTTAAAGCTAACAAGTCAAGCCGGATCTCTGAGTTCATGTGGGGACCTGGGCTCAGCGGACGGCTGCGAAACTTCTCTGAAAGTGTTGGGCGTGAAGAGGCGGCCGTCATCTGCTGTTGTAAACGTCCGTGCCTGGCCATTGAGGTTGGCTCTTAAGAGGTGAAAGCGGAACCCAGTCTTGTCCCCACCCGTGCCGGGACAGGTGTGGGACGAGTATTCGCATCGCTGGTGTCCTGGCAACGTGACTACGACTCCGTCGAAAACGTGGTCCCACATGTGGGACCATGTGTTTTACGGAGATTGATGCTGAACTGGAGCGCAGATTTCCCGGTCCTTCAATTTATGTCACCCAGATTTTGTAGTTCATGGACGTTCTTAATGAGATCTTCATCATTGCGCTAGAAACAGGCTACGCTGGTAGTGGGGTTAGCTGCTCTAATGAAAGCCTCCAGCGATCTTAGTCTCGTTCGAGAACGACAGCTTTCGCGAGCGGTTTCTAGTTCTGATGCCATTCATTGCGCGATTGATGAATTGACGACTGATGTCTAATGGCCGTGTCGTGGGCGTCAATACCAACTTTTTCACAGATTTCGTGAGACAAATCGTCATCTCACATGCATTAAATAAGCCGGATCGCCAACTCACGTCAATTAAATTGTCGATGCGCCGATTCTCGGCGCACTGATTATGAAGTGCCCCACATTCCGCAACGTGCGAGGCCGGGTCTGCGCCAAAAATGTACCCACTGGCCTTCACCTCGAAACAGCTTCGTCCTGAAACTTGGCAAACTGAAATCGTCTTCATTTTGAAACCGCGGGATGAACCTGTTCTCTGTGATTATACATACATGTTCCCAGTTTCATTCGAATTGGTCTCATCGAATGTAGCACTAACGACTGATTGTAACACAAGCTCAATAAAATTGCAATGAAACGGCAACGTTGTTTGGCGAGGTGCCACTGAATGCAGTGCATTGTAATCAAGTGCTAAAGCAATACTGACAAATTTTCGGCGTAACCGCAAAATATTTCGGCATGTTCAATAGGCCCTAGGATTACTGCCAGCAAATTTGGTAGAAAAAAATACGACGGGATTATACATGGTTCCATTGGTGGCCAACTATACAGACGCGACGTCCATTTTCCAGGCGATTGTTGCAATGCTGCAAAATTACAGTATATGTACAAGATAGTGTACACTCCACACATTTGACGTATTCATCATTAAGTACGTTCTGAGAGATGCATGCATATATATATATATATATATATATATATATATATATATATATATATATATATATAATACAGACGCAGTTGATTGAGAACACCAGAATAGACACCATATGGGTAAAATCGTTTGAATTAGGTTTTAATTGTCCCATCTGCCGCCACATACCGTGGGTTTCGTCCCAAAACTTTACCCTGGAACGCATCTGCGGAAAGTTTAACCGTTCTGTTGACTGTTGCCATATTTTATACTTACGCATCTTTATTAGTCACATCAAGATCAGGAGACTATTATGCTGCCATCGACCGAGTCAGTTTTTTCAAAAATTATATCGGCGAGTATTGGCGTGTTCTTCCTCGCGGTAGTAAAGATCTTCATCGACCTGCGCGTCGGCTATCGAATTTTTGTGTAAGATGGCGACCGAATGTGCCCGAGGCGCTCAGAAACACGATTGACGAGGGTCCGAGGCGCTTAACAAAAGTCTGTGTGAACACCATTGGAAACACATGCTGAGTTCCAATGTGTGTAGAGTACTACACTACGTCCTGACATGTAGATAACGTTGTGCTCCTGTTCTGCTTTTGCTCTGACGATTAAAAGGGCTAAATATCACGCGATGAGGAAGCCTAAGCTCCGCGTCATTCAAGCCTTGAACGCCCAGTAGTGCACCTTTAAGGGCCTTCCGTGAAAAGCCGATGTCTTACTGCGGAAATTGCATGGGCCTCGCCGAGCTCAATTACACGCTTTCAGATAGCCGTGCCTTAATTTAAAAGCGGCGGCTAATTAGCTGGACGCCGTACCGAAATTATGCGGGCGTCGCTGTGTCGTTGGAACTGCCCGCGTGCATACCGACTATGACACTCCGCCTTAATTGTGTACTCTCTGGCCACATTTAATTGCATTAGCTTCACACGCGAGGCTGTAGTTTTAAAATGCGTGCGGTCATGACGAAAAGCGGCGGGTGCAGGTGTAGTCGCCTTCTCTATTTAAAAACATCCTGCGTGCAGGTTTTCGCTGGGACATCGTATCTGAGCCTTCCCAAGCTGGGTACCTTCCGTTTAAAACCAGACCGCGCATAGAGCTCACGCCACCGAAAGGCTCTCGGAGAACCGGCGAGGTTTATGTCTCCGCAAAAGGCACAAACAACGCCGGCCTTGACCCGAGGCGTTGCTGGTAGCGACTCCCCAGGTCGTCTGCCGTTTGGGACTGGCTCCCTCCCCCTCCCCGACCCCCCGATGGGGGGTCGCTTGGCGACGGTGGCTTGACGGTTTGGCCGGGTCGCGTCGCAACAGAGTTTTTGCCGGCGGTGCGGTACGCGGACGCGTCCACGGATGCTGCTCGCGGGGTGTGTTCGGCTGAAACGGCTCACTGATCTTGAACGTGGGGTGCGTTCGGCTGAGGCGGCTCACTTATCTTGAAGGATCAAGGATCTTGATAGATCCTTATCTTGACGGATCGAAGTCTGTTCCAACGGATTTGGGCCTACCAAACGAGGCTTTGAATTTGTATCTTTCGTATGAATTGTAAACCCCAACAAATCCGGAACGCGTGCAAAATTGTCATTCATTACGTTCTGTCTTCTTTTGTCTTTTTCTTTCTTCCTATTTTGTTTGCCAGTGATCGATACCGTGTTCATAATAGTGATAGTCATTCATAATGGAGGTATCATCAGGTGGTCATCGCTCTTCACTTCCCTTATGTTAGAGCTAACATTGGCGCCGACATATTACGGCGTAAAGAGATTGGTATTTGTAGTGAAAAGAAAGCCGTGCTATTAATCAGGGAGAGCACGTAAAAACTAAAAACACTACACTTCCAGCCTGGAACTATCAATGGTGCACCAATACCCTTAACGGCCATTTGCGATTTTACTGACAAAGAGCCTCGGTCTCCATTGGCAATACAATTACTTTGCACGAGTGATGCCCCAGTTCCCAGCTCGTTAACCTCTGCTTTTCGCTCTTTCCCTCGCTTCCCCCTCTTTCACTCTGTCTCATGTTTTGCCGGACTTCCGCCCCATTTGCCTCGCTGGGCGATGGCTTTCTAGGGAATGTGCCTTAAAGGAACTGTCCACAGACCCCTGACGTGCCGGCAACATGGCGGGGAGCGCTCTGTGACGGCATGTCTCAGCTGTCACGGGCCAACACTAACGACCACTTGCCGGATGCGTCGGCGCCTGCTTCATCGCAAAGGAAGAAGCCACATCATCGGCTCGGCAAAAAAAAAAAACAACAAGGGCGATCGCCGCTCGTTCATTCCACCGAAACTCCGAAAACACTCATACATAATGCAATGACATGCATTACAACACCCAGCACAACAATGGACGCCGTTTTTCCTCGTTTACCATGCGCCACTTTTACAAACGGAGCACTTAGAGTGTGAATGGCGTTTGTGGTCGTTACGACAGCATTTACAATATATGTTCTGATTAACAAGTGTTGAATATAGCACCTTCCCTTCCCTACGCAGAACCCTAACATCGCTCAACAGTTACAAGAATATATAGCTTCTGAAGTAAGCGACAAAAAGTACATAAACAACGCCAACACTACACATTTCACTATGGCCTCATGGCCACATTTCAGGGGTGGATGGCTATGCCAACGCGCCGGTCACGTTCGAAGGGCATTTACAAGATTTGGGCTACCGATGCTGGTGCATTGGTTGCCAATTGCCGTTTCTCCATCTTTTGACGCGGGAAATCGTATCACTTTCAGAGCTTCATTTGGCTTGTTTCCTTCCTATGTGCTAGTCAGAATTCCTGCGGCATCCATCCGCCATCAATCGCCCCTTACTGTTGTAAATTGCCAGGCATGCGTTGGCTTTGTGATGGAGTGAACACGTGTCTGCACATCGTAGTCGTGTCGCCATCATCAACGACAAGGCGTCGGTGCGCCGCCATCAACGCAGACGTCAAAACGGTGCAGATGAATCGCAACGGAAGGGATGAAGAACTGGAAAGAGACTGATGCAAATGACGCTACGTTTCCACAGGTACCAACAATTTCGAATTATATAAATCCAATACTTCTTGCTCGGCCCAATACCTTGAAGTCTTGGGAACTCCCGTTCAGAACGATGGACGGTGACAGAGTTACATCTTAGATGAGGACGTGTGGTGAACGTCGCCAAAGTGAATGAAAGCTATCGCCAGTTCCGGAGGAAACATGTTTAGTTTCATCCAAAACGGACCACCAATGATGAAAGCGTTCGTTTCATAACCTAGGTGAGTTTACAACATTAAACGTCTGTACACCACGGAACACGTACAGTAATCATTACAAAATTGGCGCATCGGGCTGACAGGCTCCGCTACAAAATAACAGCTGTTTTCTGTACAGAACCGCCACCATATGGTTAATTGCACTATGACCCATTCAGCTTCTAACGGATGGTGATCCATTGCCACCATACTTCCGGTAATCACAGAGAAAATTGGTGGTAGATCAGGTTGCCCCGTTAGCACCCAACCTTGAGTCTCTAGGGAGCAGTTGTGCGGGCTTGTCAAGCTCCAGCGTATCCACACTTCCTTCATTTAGCGAACACTCTACCATCGCAACACCGACAGCCAGTGTCAATCAATGTCTGTTCGCAAACCACAATATCTGTTCATCGAAAAGCCACATGCCCTCAGGGCACTAAAACATTTCAACAACCACGCCTTCAGCTTCTGCGGTCACCACGCAGCGTCAGACGTCCGAGCCGCGCCTCACCGAGGCGTGGCTCATCACCCGAGAGGTCGGTAAGCCTTCGCCGGCGTCTGCCCCGCCGGCCGCCTCTCGGCACCGCCGTAACCCTCGCTGCGTCCCACAGCAGCTGGACTGCCCCGGCGGCGCGTCTCAGATGGCGTGCAGCGCGTGCCGTCCGCTGGAAGCCTCGCGGGACGCGCCGTCTTCCTCCCCGCGGCCTCCCTCAGCCGATGGCCGGCACCTTCAGGGTCAGGTGACCGTTGGACGTCTCGGCCAGGCTGCAGGGGTTGAGCGAGCGTGACAGGGGAAGGCTGCCGAAGCCCGTGAGGCCGGTGCTCGGGTCGACGGACATGGCACGCTCCTCCATCTCGCGCTGGTCGACCGACTTGCCGCCCGTGCGGCGGGGGAACACCGAGTTCTCCGCCTGCAGGGCGTTGTTGACGTCGGGTAGGCGCGCGCATTGGCACGCCTTAACGAACGACTTCTTGAAGTTGTCGCTGAGGAAGGCGTACAGGATAGGGTTGACGGCGCTGTTGAAGTAGGTGAGCGTGTAGACGAGCAGGATGACGCAGACCATGACGGGGCTGTGGCGGACGCGCGCCTCGCTACTGAGCGTCATCGAGAGTTGGGTGACCCAGAAGGGCAGGTAGCAGCAGAAGTAGACGGTGATGACGGTCAGTACCAGCCGCGTCACCTTGCGGTGGCTCTTCTTGCGCTCGCGAGACCGGTTCTTCGGCCCCACATGGCGTAGCTTGTGGATGACGAGGACGTAAAAGACGAGGATCAGGATGACGGGCATGGCGAAGGACATGACGAAGGTGTAGAGGGTGAACGCCTTCTCGCCGCCGATGTCCTCCGGCCAAAAGATGTTACACTGGCCCTCGTACTCGGCAGCGTACATGAAGAGCGGCACCACCATCAGGGAGCTGGCCGTCCAGGCCGTCAGACAGACGATTTTGGACACGAGCGGTGTACGCCACTGGGTCGAGCTGATGGGGTGACAAACGGCGAGATAGCGGTCCGCACTCATCACCGTCAGGAACAGACTGCTGGTGAACTGGTTGATGCTGGTAATGGTCCAGTAGATCTTGCACATGACCATGCCGAACGGCCAGTGACCCAGCGACATCGTGGTCAGGATGAAGGGAATGCTGATGAGGAAGATCTCGTCCGCCACCGCCAGGTTGAAGATGTAGAAGTTGGTGACGGTTTGCATCTTGCTGTAGCGCAGGATGACGTAAATGACAAGCGTGTTACCGCTCAGCCCGATCATCATCACTGTGGCGTAGAGGATGGCGTTGATGACCTTGTAGGGGTCGGTGCTTGGCGCCACCTGGAGACAGTTGACCGTATCGTTGTCCAGCAACTGAAGCACCGTGCAGTTCTGGTACGGATTTCCTGACGCCATGGCCGAGGCGTTCGCGACGTCGTCCTAACAGGCGAAGCGCCGGCGCGATGACCAGTGCCGGGACCTCCACTAGCAGCTTGGTCCACCTAGTGACGAAATTCGGTCGCCAGGATCACCGGTGGGCAGAGGCGTCGAAGACCTTAGACAGCGACGACGTCACTCAGCGGGCCGCTCGCGCGGAGCAACAGTTGCCGTCTAGGAGCCGGAGGCGCTCCAGCAGGCTCAGTCTCGGCAGCTTCCGGCGGCTGCCGGAGATCAGCGCTTCCGGCCGGGAAATCAGGGAACATCCGGCACAGACGGGAGCCGGAGAGGCGGGCTTGCCTGGCAACGCCCGCGCGTCGAGACAGACGGCAGTAGACTGCTGACAGCGGCTCGGCGACTGGCGGGAGGCGGAGGCGGCAGGCCGGAGCGGAAGGGCTCGCGCTCGGGAGCCGACGACGTGAGGCGTGGCGCGACTTCGTGAGGCGCGCGAGGACTTCTCCCTAGCGTCCGGCCGGCAGGCGTCGCCCGTTCGGCGCCGAGCTCGGCGGGCGTCTAGAGGTGGAGGCAGCACTGCAACGAAACAGAATCGCTCCGTCAATAACGCAGGTACTTCGCGCTAGGTGAATCTTCTCGCAGCATCAGGCTCCTGAAAATGTATTCGTGCATGCAACCTCTTGCAGTATTGGCTGTAATGGTAATTGAATGGTTTTAGCCGTCTGTTACAGGACAGCGTTGCATGCTAAATTATGGAGCGCTGCTTATTTCCCGATAATAAGACGAGGCACCGACATAAGTGCTGTGCCATACGGCATCTGCTGTGACGTTAACGCTTAGGAATGTGCAGTGATCGACGCTCTGTCTAGTGGCGACTATAGTAATGCATACAGTTAACTCCAATCAGAAATCAAGGCAAAGCTGCAATTCTTTGATGGTGTTTTCCTAGCAACTGTAAGTGGTAAACTGACAACGTTTTATGGTTAAAATATCAAGTAAAAGATGAACGACCGTGAAGATATCATGAACGGTTCACATCCGGTGTCATTTGCTGCGTGATGCAACTACAGGGGTTGTCGTCAGATTAGTATAGTTGTCGGCCGGTCGACAAATTGGCGACAGATTAGGACAAGACAAGTGGCTCCACGACGCGGTCCTGTGCCGACGCCGCTGTCACGGCCGAGCGCGTTGGGGCTAGCGGCGATGTGCTGCTCCCCTCCCGGCTCTCGACCAGACCCCGCCGCGACACGCTGGCTCGGTCAGCCGTGAAGAGCGATCGGCAGGTCGCCTGGGGCCCCAGAGGGTCGCCTCGACCCGGGGCACGGCCCGTCACACCGCCCACGGCCGGCAGGGGGCTCAGCAACAGTCTGTTGTGCTTGGCGTTGGTGCGACGACGCTTGGCCAGAGTTGGCCACGGACGGACACTGCCACCACGGACGTCGTGCTGGCAGTGGGTTGCAAATGTAGGTCACAGACCGATCCCTGGCGTCGTGTGCCATGCGAAGGGTAGGGCAAAGACTGACCGCAAAGAACGGGCGGAGACCGCCCGCTGGTCAGAGGCACGCCCCCCCCCCCCCCTAGCGTCGGAGCGGGTACCGGCAGCCGTCACTAGGCTTCTTCGCCGGAAGCTAGGCCTTCGCTCTCTTCCGCTGTGCTGTGATGTGCAGTAGCCGGATGTCCGATGCAGAATTCACGCCCGGCGGCCAAATGGTGCCCCGTTACAACGGACACCAGAGCGGCTCTATCACTCACATATGCAATATGGTGTTCATACTAGGATGACATGCGCACATAATGAGAAGGGAATAATAGGTTAGCGGTGGAACGAGAGGTACATGTGAAACTGGCTGGTGAATGGATGATGCAGCGTCTGGATTGCGTGGTAAGCACGAAGTGGTATCGCACGGTTGCCGATTGCTCGCTGCTCATTTGGCTACACAGTGCGTGATCGGGAGGATAGAGGCGCGTGTGCAATGTGCATCCATAGGACTGTGTATGTGAACATCTATTGTGAGACAAAAAACCAGCTGCTCCCGCCCAGCAGCGGGACACCCCGCCCAGCAGCAGAACACGCCGCCCAGCAACGGAACACCCCGCCCAGGAGCGGAACACCCCGCCCAACAGCGAAACGCCCCGCCCAGCAGCGGAACACCCCGCCCAGCGGCAGACCCACGCCCAGGAGCGGAATGCCCCATCCAGCAGCAGAACACCCCGCCCAGCAGCGGACCCACGCCCAGGAGCGGAACGCCCCACCCAGCAGCGGAACCCCCGCTCCACTGCCGCGCGCTGGTCCGTCCAAATAGCCCGCTCAGCAGCCGGCGCACCCGTATTTCAGCCGGGGCGCGACGCGGGCCGTGATAAGGGAGATGTGTGTGGCGTGCCCTGCATGATGAAGGCGGCGCACCGCGCATGAGCTGTGATGAACGCGGCATGCAGGCGCAATGTGCCATGCATGGCCGGTTCGCTCCCGGTAATAAGCTCGTCCTATGGCAGGCGTCTCTCTCATGATCCATTCAGTTAGTCGTTGAACTGTAAAGAAGCGTGTCCTGAGTACGAACGCCTATGAGGGGAAGAATGCACCTCAGCTTGTTCAGGTTGTCACCAGTTCGTGCGCAGCGGATTGGAAAAACGTAACGTTCCACAAAGTGTTGATTGTTAGAATGCAGTTTTCAACCCATCAGGATATGCAATCTAACCGCCAAAATGCACGGAGCCATGCACCAGTATCTATTTGCGATGTATTGTTATATCCACTCTGGAACCATTGTTATTCATGTTATAGACAATTATATGACACGTACACTACATGACAAGTAGTCAAGCATTGCAAACCTTCGCTCACGCTCTGAGAGTGATGAGTCGCACTAGTTGGCGCGTATTTAACACAAGGATCTATCAGCACTTTTCAATGAGCATTACATGCACATTTATAGCAATGGTCAATGGGTGCATTGCCATCATGACCAGTATTGAGTGATCACCATACATTGCTCTTTTCAAGGCCTCGCACGTTCCCCAAGTGGGTCTTTGCTGCTGTCCCCATCAGGTCCCAGCACTTGGCCGGCCCGCTCGTTCCATCAATGTCGTGACTTCGTGTATTCACGCTTGCATGTTAACGATCGTCTTTCCCGTCTCCTTGTTTGTCCTCTCGCCAGTGTGCCATCGATCGCCGCCTCCACGCCCTAAGGCAGCACCCCGCCTCCGGCCGATCCAACCGCTCGCGTGCCACTTTTTCCCCGCTCGTCGAGGGACCATCAGGTCAAATCTCCGCCGGGTCCGAACGACTGTCCAGACTTTGTTCCGACCTCCGCTCGCGCGCGCCGTCCGCCGCTGTCATTAATCAGCTCGTTCGCCGATGGGCGAGCTCTCCCCACACACCGCTCTGTGTCAACCCGTCTGGCGGCTTCGGCGCGCCCGTAATTGGAGGCCAGCGTCCCCGTCGCTGTTTGGTGATGGGATGAACGGCTGGCTGGGACCGTGCCGGCCTTATGAGCTTTGCTGTCCGTCGTTGACAGGGCTGTCGAGGGCGTCTCGTTGAGGATGTTGTTAATTTAGGTCACCGATTTGGGTTTAAGGATTTATCTGCTGTGATAGCAGTGGTGGTTTGTATCCATATAAAGTGCCGGTATTTGTCATTGCTTTCTTTATCGCACAGTGTCAGTATATTTCCTCTTACTGCGATCAGAGTCGAAATGCGGGCACTTTTTCACGTGGCTCTGAATAAACCTAGACACTTTTCGTTGCTGCTGAGCTGCCAAGAGCAAAATAGCTCTTTCAAATGCAGGTGAATGAGGATGTCGGAAGACCAATGGTATGTATACGGGATAACGTACGTGCCGCCAAACACACGATGTCGAACTTTGCATTTTCAGTGCCGGAGTTTTCAACATTTTCAGATGCGAAACCTTCAAGGCCTTAGCTTGCATAGGTCACCGAAAACAAACGTTGTGAAGGTCATGTCGGTCATATGTGTCTCAGACACCCATTAATTTACGTGTGGCGTCAAGTGTACACTTTAAAATACTTCCATGACTTGAAGGTCAGTTCGTCGTAGTCCATGCGTATGTGCGTACGAACATAGTCCGTCGTTGTAATTCCGTATACTGCAAAGGGCCAGTTTGATGCACACACACACACACACACACACACACACACACATATATATATATATATATATATATATATATATATATATATATATATATATATATATATATAAGCGCCCTATGTGACGTATGCAGATTTGCGGAGTACGATGAGCTCTGACTGTCATTGACAAACTAAGTCAAATGCTCCAAATGGATAAATATTCATGGACACATATTTTGCGTTCCACGACCTGACTTGATATACCTTAGCACATGGTGAAGACATATTGAGATGTTTGGTGCAGTTTAGTAGGAGCTATCCGACGCAGCTTGTGTTGTGGCAGCGTGTTCAGCTTCTGATAGGACGGGGTGGAGCATGGACACGAAATGCTTGACCCGATTGGCTTCATTTGACTTGCTACGGGTCGTACCCACTGATGGGTTACCATAGCGTGTAACCACGTGTGTCAAGGAACGCAAAGCATTATTTTCCACGTTGGCATAGGGCACGTAGTTTCCAGAATAGAACAAGCCCGACCTCATTAATTTTTCTCTATTGATTGGTTTACCCCATTAACGATATTTTGTACCAAAGTCCGCTGATGCAGATTCAATGCAGTATTGCTGTAGCTATCCCATGCGACGTTTTGCTCGGCTTGGGCATGTACATTTGTGGGTAGTGGGGCTGTGACTAGATTTGTGCTCGGCTTCAGTAGAGTACGTCCAACTCTGATTCTGTCTCAAAGGATACAGAGTCAATTTAGACCCTGATTCCAACCGACTTTTGCAAATTGAAGCTATCTCCGCATGACTCTGATTGCTTTGAAATAAATGCGGTCGACTCTAACTCTGACCCAAGGAAATCTTGTTCAGTTCCAGACCCGACTCCATTCTGACTCTGGGTGCATCAGGTGACACAACCCTGGCTCTGACCTCCCAATATCTGATGGAGTCAGCTTCATCCCGGTGCAACCAGTGTGGCTCACTCCTGGGAAAGTGAACGTTCGTTCATAGTCGCACAAGCACGCGATCTCAGTTTTTTGTGTGTAAATGGCCAAGATGGAGTGCTCCAAACACAAATAGCCAGGTTAATTGCAACTCACCGATTACGATTCTTAAGCCCTCAGCCGTGGCCTTAGTGAACGCTACCTGTTGCCCGCCAGGTATTTCATCAACGTGCCACTCGATTTGTCATGACCCGTTGGCGGGGGGCCGATGATCTCTACCATAATCATCCACGTGCCAACGTTTATTTGAGATCCGCGTCTACCTGACGTCTACCAGAAGGCTGTGTCTACCAGGTGTGACAGAGAGAGCTGTGTCTACCACACGCCTACTGGAAGCCCGCGTCTACCAGACGTTTGCCAGAGGCCCGCGTCCTCCAGACGTCTACCAGAAGGCAGTGTACCAGGTGTGACAAAGAGAGCTGTGTTTGCCAAACCTGTATCGGAGGGGCGCGTCTACCAGACGTCTGCCGGGGGGCCGCGT